CAACCCCGGAGCTTGTGACTCAGTCGTCAATATCCATGTTTGTTTGAGAGATGGATCACTCAATTCAGCGCTCGCTGAATGATAAGCTCTACGACCGGAGGAAACAGGGGGCCCTGGAGTATGCATTATCGATAAGGCGACATATGTCAGACAATAATATGGCGGGTGGCTAACACACATGGAATCATTACCAGGCTCGAGAAGGTCGTCCGCGATGCTGCTTTCAGGGGTGAACACGAGGAGATCCAAAAGATTGTCGACCAACTCTGCCATGACTACGCCTATGCGGTACACCAACCTCACGCGAGAAACGGCGGTTTAATCGGACTTGCTGCGGCTTCCATAGCATTAGGATCCGTGAGTTGCACCAGGATATACTGAATGGATTTCGCAGGGGCTGAGTTCAAGGTTGCTAGGAAGGGGTTGCTCCTTATCTGAAGGAAATCGTACCGCCGGTGCTTGCTTGCTTTTCCGACCAAGATGCGCGAGTCAGGTATTATGCTTGCGAGAGCATGTACAACATTGCCAAAGTTGCGAAAGGCGAGGTGCTACTCTTCTTCAATGAAATATTCGATGCATTGAGCAAGGTAGGGGGTTTTCTTCCTATGTCCTTACTGCTCTGGCCTGACAGCTTACACCCCGCCAGCTAGCTTCCGATTCGGAGCTTTCGGTCAAAAACGGCGCAGAACTCCTCGACAGACTCGTCAAAGACATCGTATCGGAATCCGCAGCCTCCCATATCTCCGTCTTACAGCTTAGCGAAAAGGAAGCGACAGATCCTGAAGGCTTGGACGATGCTGAACTTCCTACCGCCTTCTCGCTACCCAAATTCATACCTTTGCTCAAAGAGCGAATCCACGTCATCAGCGCGTTCACCCGCACATTCCTGGTATCATGGCTGACTCTGCTGGATACAATCCCCGATCTGGAGTTGATATCGTATCTGCCGGAATTTCTAGGAGGTTTGATAAAGTTTCTGGGCGATCCGAACAGAGATGTCAACGTCGCTACCCAAGCGCTTCTAGATAGGTTCCTGTCGGAGATCAAGAGGATTGCGCGACTTAAGAAGGGTATCGAAGAAAGCCGGAAAGGTCAAGGCAGCGATATCAGGCAATCAACTACCAGCGATAGTATGAGCGTTGCGACGACTACCGACCAGACTGTAGCTGTCGAGTCTGAAGTGACAGACAACGCCATAGAGGACTCTGAGGCAGGGTCAGTTACCGATGAGGAAGGCTTGCACGTGGATGGGGACTGGATTCCCGGACAAGATGTCCAAATTGACTATGCCAAGATATTAGACATTCTCGTCGGTTTCGTTGATACATCTTTCGGTAAGCAAGGCATGATGCTCAGTTGCAATGGTTCGATACTTATCACTAGTCACTAGTGGAGGAAATGCAGTTGACTGCGCTGCGCTGGATCGATAACTTCTTCGAAATCAGCCCAGAAGACATCCTCCCTTTCGTTCCTCGTCTCCTTACTCAAGTGCTCCCAGCAATGTCCAGTGGTTCGGATCAAGTGCGGCAGGCCGCCAACCGGGTCAACACGTCTTTGATGGAGTATATTGTCACGCTGTCCGAGGATACAGTAGATGAAAGCCGGCAAGCGGCAATGAAAAGTACCAGCAAGGAAAACACGGAGCGAAGGTCGTCTACGCCGGTTAGCAAGCCTCCCGAGACGCCATCGAGTGAATCCAAGAAGCAATTGTCTCAGCCAGAGGCATCAGTCGAACAAACCCCTCGAAGCAGCATGTCAACACCATTACCACCCGCCGACCTCGATTATGCTGCTGCTGTGAATTCCCTTACCCTACAGTTCCTGAACGAAAACGAAGCCACTAGAGTAGCCGCGCTTTCCTGGCTTATCATGTTGCACCGAAAGGCGCCCAAGAAGGTCATCGCATTTAATGATGGCACCTTTCCTGCTCTTCTGAAAACACTGTCCGATCCGGCCGAAGCCGTCGTCACCAAAGATCTCCAGCTTCTGTCACAGATTTCCAGAAACAGCGAGGACAGTTACTTCAAGTCTTTCATGGTGAATCTCCTGCAGCTGTTCTCCACGGACAGACACCTGCTCGAGGTACGGGGGAATCTGATTATCCGACAACTGTGCATGAATCTTAGTCCAGAGCGTATTTATCGAACGCTGGCAGATTGTCTCGAGAAGGAAGAGGTGAGACCCACGACTACTCCGTCTATCGAATGTAGCAACTCACACCGTGAAAGGATATCGAGTTTGCTAGTATCATGGTCCAGAATCTGAACAATAACCTGATTACCGCCCCTGAACTCTCGGAACTGAGAAAGCGCTTGAGGAACCTTGACGCCAAGGTAAAGACTTCTTCACAGGCCGAGTATTTACGAAAGCTTACAATCTCCACAGGATGGACAAATGTTCTTTGTAGCGCTGTTCCGGTCATGGTGCCACAATGCCGTCTCTACATTCTCCCTCTGTCTACTCGCACAAGCCTACGAGCAAGCATACAACCTCCTCCAAGTCTTGTAAGACACCCCCTCCCTCCCCCAATAACCCAGCACCGCGCCACTAACCTACCATCACAGTGCCGAGCTCGAAATGACAGTGAACATGTTAATCCAAATAGACAAGCTAGTCCAACTCCTCGAATCACCCGTCTTCACCTGTAAGTTCCCACATCACACCCTAAATCACCTCACACCAGCTAACCCCACCCCCCAGACCTCCGCCTCCAGCTCCTCGAACCAGAACGATACCCCTACCTCTACAAATGCCTCTACGGCGTCCTCATGCTCCTCCCACAGAGCTCCGCCTTCGCGGCGCTCAAAAACCGCCTCAACAGCGTCAGCAGTATCGGCCTCATCCACACCGGGCCCCGACAGTAAGTCCATCCCCCACTTACTCATCTTCACCAACCACAAACTAACACCCCAACCCCAAAGAACCACTCTATCCTCCTCATCCACCACCTCCTCCACCTCCACCTACGACCGCTCCACCAACAGCCGACTAAAACGCGACGACCCACCAATCCGATGGGTCGAGCTCCTTGACAAATTCAAGATCGTGCAAGAGAAAGCCCGCCGGTCTCAAAGCGCCTCGCAGCGTCCCTTCGACGCAGACGGACCCTCATCCTCCAGCAACAATAACACCAATAACAATAACGCAAGCGATCAGGTCCGCGGCGGCGGTAGCACCAGAGACCGAGTCTCGGCTTTACCTGATACTCCACGGGGATTAGCCGGAGGAGGGAATACCGGAGGCGCGGGGAATGAAGGTGGTATTGGTGGTCGGGGAACGAACGAGGGAGGTGCGGGTAAATCCTCGCCGGGAGGCATTCTAGGTGGTGCGCATAGACATAAATCTAGTTTGTCGAATCTGGGCAGATTGGGGATTGGGGGGAGGAAGTCGAAGAGGTGATTGTGGGTTTGATTTATGATTATAGTTATGGATATGGTTATAGTATAGTATAGGAGTGGGGGGGGGGGGGGGGGGGGGTTGGGTGTTAAAAAAAAAAAAAAAAAAAAAAAAAAAAAAAAAAAAAAAAAAAAAAAAACATACATTGCTAGGATTGAGAATGGGGTTAGCTATATAGTTGCTAGTTGAGGTGTGATGATACTATCATTACGTGAGCTAAGCACCAAGATAGTAAGGTATATACATAGGTCCGTGGTGTTAGTAGTGTCTCTTGCTACTTCTATAGACTGAGTAAGAAGGTCGCTCTAAGGATTTACGCTAAGGTAGTAGGAAAAAGGGGCCGACGCAAGGCTATAGATCTGCGTGTTGGTCTGACGATTATCCTATTATATCCAAGCATCTCAGAATTTAAGCATCTACCTGGGTGGGGGCCACGCTGGTGATCGTCATATCTCTTGATTGGAATGTAAAAGCCTATGTACAGTGAGGCGTATGGCCTCGAATTGGCGAAAAAGGGTGTGAAGAAAGGATACACCAATAAGTCAAGTCACAGAACGACTCGCTAATGGGCTTGAGGGGTATGTGAAGTGCACAAAATGGCAGCACAAAGCTTTATCCCGCCAACTCTAGAACAGAGCGGAAAGGATCCAGAACAATTGTAGCAAAAAGGAGTGCTTGCAGCCAAAAAGCAAACAGGCATAAATCGCGTCAATAAGATGGTGCCAGATAACTCCGAGATAGATATGGGGAAAACAAAAAGTATTCGACGTCCCTTGGACCAATGGCTTGAGACGCGTGTTGATGGTGCGGCAGGCGGTAGTCAATATGACAAGCAATTGCGCAGATGAGAGCAAACCAAACCAAATGGCTGATCGAATATGCAACGCTAGCTTTCAAATGTCGCGGCTGAAACCAACGGCCAAAACGGAGTACCGAAGGACGGAAGTAGAGAAAGATAACATGAACTTTTCGCGTTCACTTTCTTCACCCATGAATGAAAAACAAGGATAGGTCGTCGCATCCTCGACATGGACATTATGAGGAGGATTGGTAGTCGAGCAAAACGGAAAAGACAGCGCTTGAAGAACGATGAAAAGGTGCATCACCGCCAGCGCGAGTCGCCAGACGACCCCCACGTAGAGGCTTTCCAGTAGCTGCCTGTCGAGTGCTTGGAGACGGTCCCTGACGAGGAGTTGGATCCGCCGACGTAGACGTATTCCCCATCGACGTAAGGAACCCCTGAAAAGGTGCTGCGGTGTTTGCGACGAGCATAGCGCTGCTCTAGCCGGTAGAGCTCGATCTCTGTAAGAAATGGATGGTTAGTCCAGGCATTGAACGATGGCACAATGACCATGATGCTTCGAGATAAAGTGTGGTAGTGCTCCTAGGAGATGGAATCAACATACTTGCTTGCAACTTCTCGATGAAACCCATTGTGTATGTATGTAGCGTAGCGCTTTGCAATATATGACTTTATTTCTCTTGTGCACCAAATCCAAAGCGGATCGAATAATCACCCCAGGGAGTTTCTGGAAGTGTATATGCGGGGTTCAGGGATGACAATCTCCAAGAATTGTTGATTGGGAGAGTGCGAAGGTGAAGCGATGCCAATTGCTGAGATAACGGTCCGGAAGGGTAGGAAAGGTAACACGGCGGACGCGAGAGGGGCAGGTTGGCGTAGATAAAAAGGAAAAAGGAGGGAAGAAAGACCCGATTTGCGAAGAGGGACGACGACGGGCTAGTGGACGTTGCAGCAGATGGTGGGAAAAGAAAGTGTTCACACCAAGACAGATAGTGCTCCGGAGCTAAGCAATAGTCAAGAAGTCAATGATAAATAAGGCGCCGATAGTGATTTAGTGGTACCCTTGGTGGGATGGCTGGTAGGAATTGATGGATAAAGAGAGAGGCTTGTGGAGAAGGAATGCAGCCGACCACGCAGGGAAGACAAGCCACCGAGGGTTACGTGCCAATGAAGAATGCAAGGTGAAAGAGTAGTAGAAGAAAAGGAACAAAGAAAAGGTCAAAAGAGAGACGTGGTGGAGAAATAGAAAAAGAAGCAGCAGCAGAAGAAAGAGGAGATAATGGAGAACGATGACGATAGTTAGATAGATACTAGTAGGGGAAAACAACGAATGTGGAAAGAACGACTGACTGGGGGAATAATTGGGAAGGAAGGAACCGAACGAAACGTGTGGGAAAGAGAGGAACTGGAAGGCACGATGGCCGGACGGATGTGGACTTGCTGCACCGACCACCAGTCAGGAAGGCGCAACGTGGTTTGGGGGAGGGGTGTCCCTTCCTGTCTAGGCCTAGCCAGGGGAGTCCAGCCAATCAGTAGCCTCGACTAAGTATGCCCACCACCGTCAGGTACGGAATCCAAATACACTAAGGAAATACTAGACCACGAACTAGACGTCCGTCACCACCACACAGACCAGACCAGACTCTTCAATACCCCTGACTATCTTTCTCAAGAAGAGACATTCAACAGTCAAAGTAGCAGAGATTGCTCAATTGACTTTTTCTCTTTTTCATTTGAGATAGTCATCTACCTATCTAACCGACACTATCGTCTATGATCTCCCGCTATTGGCGAGTCTTTCCATCCATCATCCATCCAGAACTTCTCTTCTCTTCTCTTCTTCCTTCCTCAAACTCAAAACCTCCCCACCTCCCGCCCGGAGATTTGTTTTCTTTCTTCTGTTACCCCCTAACGCACGGTTAACATCATTAGACTCACCCTCAGGCAGATAGATAAACCACGAATCGAATAGTGCTCATACTTGGGCACCAACCATCCAATCCTGAACATTATTGTTCCTTCACTCGTTCAACATGGAATATACAATATTCATCTGACACTCTCTCCTCCTCATCCCTGGTTCTCCCTGACTCAAGACCCTGCGTACCAGATCGGCTCGCTCGCTGGGTCGAAAAGGGTAGAACCGAGACGGGGAAAGACGCTAAGGCCAGTTTCGAATGTGCCGGTGGTTCCGTCTAAATGGCCTGGCCGTGCCTTGCCTTGCGTGCTTTTCTTATCCACGGCTCCAGTTATTTTTATTGGAACCGCCCGCTTGCCTTCCTTCGGTTCAGTTCCCCTCGTGGCAACCCGGTAGACTAGTCCGTCGTTTAGATTGCGTGTGGGATGATTGGGGGGAAGGTGGCTTTCCCACATTTCACCGAATGGTGCACGTACACGACAGCCACAGAGGAGGGTGTTTACGTAAGTTGGTGGACAACTGACTAGTAACGTAGATAGTTACACATATAGTGGCTATGGTGTAGATATCTACTTTGATAGTTTCCCATTTGTATCGTTCAGTCGAAAAAAGTCTAAAGCGCCAAGAAATATAGAAACAAAAGAAGGAAAGGAAGGGATTCATACAATTCCCTTTCATTGGGTGATTGCTTGCTGCTTATCGTCGTGTCTCGCGCTCTGCACTACTTCTTAGTAGTACTCTCCTCTTCCTCCGCAGCTGTCGGTTCGCTGTCCACGTCCTGTGCGAGGGACATTTCCTGGGCTGTGGCGCAGGATTTAGTTAGCTTTCGTGTTTGAAATACACCAACTTCTTTCCGGGCTTTCGACGGCGGGTCTCTTACCGTTCCACAGCTCGGCGTAGATGCCATTCTGCTCCAGAAGGTCGCGATGCGATCCCTTCTCCGCTACTTGCCCCTCCTTCAATACGAGGATCTGGTCGCAGTCATAGATCGTGCGCAGTCGGTGCGCCACGAACACGCTCGTGCGTCGCTTCTCCTTTAGGATGCTGTTGATGTTCTGCAGTAGCGCTTGTTCCGTGTAGGTGTCCAGAGCTGAGGTCTACCCGTTCATAATTAGTATACTTAGCCGCCTTCCATGCTGAACAATAACAATTGACTTACCGCTTCATCGAAAAACAGCAGCTCCGGATCCTTCAGGATCAGTCGGGAGATGGCCAGTCGCTGCTTTTCACCTCCAGAAATCATCATGCCTCGCTCACCCACCGCAGTCTTGTAGCCGTCGGGCAGCTTCTGAATCAGCTCATGGATGTGAGCACGCTGCGCCGCCTGGTGGACTTCTTCATCGGTCGCCTCAATCCGGCCGTAGCGGATGTTGTGCGCGATCGTATCGTTGAAAAGAGGGGTATCTTGGGGCACAACACCAATAGCCTTGCGGAGACTTTCCAGAGTCACATCGCGTACATCCTGACCGTCAACGAGGATCCGGCCCTCCTGGACATCGTAGTAGCGGAACAGCAGTCTCAGGATAGTCGACTTGCCACAACCACTGGGTCCAACGATAGCGAACTTCTGGCCGGCAGGAATCGTAAAGCTAGCGTTCTTGAGAATGGGTCGGTCGGGGTGGTAGCCAAAGGTGACGTTCTCGAACCGGATCTCGCCGCCCTGCTTCAGTTGGAGGGGCTTGGCATCCGGTCGCTCGGTGATGTTCACGTTGACTTTTTGCAGGTTGAAGAGGGTCTCCATGTCCAGCAAAGACTGGCGGAGCTCACGGTACACCGAGCCCAAGAAGTTGAGCGGGACCGAGAGCTGGAAGACGAGCTGATTGACCATGACCAGGTCACCTACAGTCAGACTGCCACTAGCAACCCCATTGGCGGCGAGATACATCATGCCTGCCAGGGCACTCGAGAAGATCATGTTCTGGCCGGAATTGAGGAAAGCCAGCGACGTCGTGACCTTGATGGAAGCATCCTCGTAGGCCTTCAGCGCCTTATCGTAGCGTGCAACTTCGAATTTCTCGTTGTTGAAATACTTGACCGCCTCATAGTTGATCAGAGAGTCGACAGCAACGGTGGCACCACGGTTGTCTGCAGCATTCGCCTGTTTGCGGAACTTGGTTCGCCAGGCGGTGGTCATGATCGTGAAAGCAGAGTAGGTCACCATGGTTGCGGCTGTGATCGCCGCAAACTGGACACCATATTGGTAGGTCTATCGCAGTCAGCAATGCCATATCTCGACAGATGGTGCAGCGCAGGCCATACCAGAATACCGCAGACAAGAGAAATCTCCAAGGCAGTCGGCACCACGTGGAAGACCATGGACGTCAACAAGAAACTGATGCCCTTGGTTCCACGGTCAATCGCTCGCGTCAAACCACCGGTCTGCCGAGAGAGGTGGAAGTTAAGATCGAGCTGGAGCAGGTGCTTGAATACATTTCCCGCGACCTTGCGGATCGCCTTCTGCGCAACACTGGCGAATACAGCATTGCGCAATTCTTGGAACAGCGTAGCCCCGATCCTAGTAACACCGTCTGGTAACCATTGTTAGGTACAGTCTTCCTGCATGCGGGGATCTCTTACAGGCAATAATCATCGAGCCTGCGACTGTGTAAGCGGTTCCGCCAAAGGTCGAGAAGTCCACGTTCATGGAATCAACGATGTTCTTGAAATAGAAGGGTACTTCGACATTCAATATCTGGTTGGATAGTGAGTACAGATGCAGGAGACCCGGTAGGTAGCATAGCTCACCTTTCCTCCAACCAGCAGCGATAGGGCTGTGCCGACACGAAGCTTCGTTCCCCAGTCACCCTGCACCGTTCCCTATTAGCACCCTATGCCTCGCTCGTCCAGAACGCCGCGAATCCAGCTCACCTTAGGCCAGAGATACTTTGCCATTTCCTTCATTATCGCCCAGTCCGCCTTCCTCTGCTCCTTTCTCCCCACGGTAGCTTCGCTGAGCAGGTCTTTTTTCGGGGTCGCGGTAGCATTTTGGGTACCCGGCGGACTCTGCGCGACATTGGCAGCGCTGGGTCGGGTAGTAGAAGGATCTTTGGGGTCCGGCGTCTGCGACTTCGACGGAGTGTTCTGAGAGGTCTGGCTCCTCAGTGGGCTTCTGGTGGTTGAAAATGATCTGAGCTGAAAGCCGTAGGAAGCTGACGCCCATGACGTTGGGCGCGGAACGGCTGAAGTGTGATGCAGAAAGCGTCCCGAGGCACGCCAGCAAGGCGTGCGGGCCGCCCTGGGCAGCATGATGGTCGGTAGATGCTCTTCACAGCGACCGGAGGTATGTAAGGACCGTCTTTATAGCCAATGGAGCATTGCGGTGGTGGTGAGGCCTTGCGCGAATTTCCGCCTCGTGATGGGGACCGCCGGGTTCGGAGGAAAACGTCGGCGGCGGCGGGGGATAAAGTATGAGGGCGTGAGTTGGAAAAGGTACTGGGGACCGCGATGGATCAGGGCGATGTTTACTCACGACACCCTGTATGGCGGATCATTGATTGAGTATTCAAAAGGGAAAGTTATGGAGAAATAAGTAGAGGTGATTCAGCGAGGGAGGCTGCAGCGATAGCACCAGGAAAGGCAGTTCTGTCGCAATCGCCGATTCCGAGTATCTCCAGGTCTCCGGTAAATTACGTTACTCTCGGTACGAATGCGGCAGTTCAGCATCGGACTGTCTTTCTGATATTTACTCACATCTCTTCATAGGTCTACGTGGATTAAGTCGTCTCTCTGTTTAATCAATTCCTGCTTGAGCAATTGCTGTGTAGCTTGAAGGTATCTGGTATGAGTATGTCATCCTTAGTAGGAAAGTAAGTGACGTCGTGAAGGTAATGTGCCGATATTGTTTAGAAACTGAGTCAACACACAGGTCCAGCTTCATCGCTACTAACAGAAATAGAAGATATATGCTCTCATATAGAAGACATTAGCGGGTAGCAGTCAGATCGATAGTCCACTGAAGTAATAGAGGGGATACTTAAAGATCTCTCATATAGTCAAGGTAGACACGTGAGATAGGTATGACATCAGTGCAACACAGCTTGTGTCTCCCAAACCACCATCGGATTGAAATAATCAGCACAGATTATAATATCTGATCCATCTTCATAACAATATATATCCAGTGATAGTGAAAACAATACCCTCAGTGCCACGCAAAAGTGGATGAAACAGCTTCAAATATCGACAAGCTCGCAGTGCCAAGCCGCAATAGCGCTTTTCCCGATCTGGAAGCGTGAATCCGGGCGAGAAGAAGAATTACCGCGGAGGACGAGCAGTTGCATTCCCAACCCCAGCTTCTCCCCATCTGCACTTCGTTCGGCAGAGACCCTCCATGATGGCATCGGCTCAACCTTGGAGGAGTGCCGCGAGGACCCTGTCCTGGACTCGAGTCGTCCCTCCCCGGGCGCGACAAGGGGCATTGCTGCGCCGCGGATGGCAGACCAGATGCGTCCAGATTCGCGCGGCGCCTGCGGAGGAGCCTGCTACCGTCAATGGCGACCATCTTCCCATCTCCAGCACCCCTAGCTCTGCTGAGTCTGCTGGTAAGTCTCCAGGCTGGACCCGAACCCGCTTTAAACCCCGAGCAGACCGCGCTAACAAGCCGCAACTATAACTAGATGCACGATTCGATGTCATCGGCGCGCCCTACTCTCTACTATCGGTTTCGCTCTCCGCTTCTCAGAACCTCTATACTCGTCGGGGTACCTTGGTCGGATTGAGTGGAAAGGCAGACAATGTATGCGCATGTTGTTGTGGTTAATGCTCTACCCTGTACGCTGCTCTAGGGTTAACGACTTTGGCATTAACGCAGGTGGTTTCTACATTGAGCGTCCTAGAACCCTTCCGGAGGGCTGTCGTCGGCGTGCCGTTCCTCTACCAGAAGGTTAGGCTGGTCTTCCTAGTATTTGAACAATTGATATGGTTATTGACACCTAACTGCTAGGTGTCTTCGGCAAGTCCAGTGACCGCGCTGGTTTCCGTTCGTTCTCCGAATACCTCCTTTGCTGTCGTTCACTTGAATGGCTCCGTGGATTGGATGGTGGCCCAGAAACGGGCATTGCTTGCCTGGACGGGTCGCTCGCTCTCTATCCGTCCAACTATAAACACAAGTCTGGTTCGTGATCCTCATTGGGTTTTGTGTATGAAGGCTAAACTAATCCGCGAAGAGCCTTGCCCACTGGGGTAGCTCCGAGGTCACAGGACGAGGTCTGTTGGCCTTGGTTGGTAACGGTCAACTCTATTCCGTTGAGCTCAAGGCTGGAGAGCAATACATCGTTCACCCGAGGTGAGCATGTCCTATCGCCATGATTGACCAGCTTTTACTGATGTCGCATAGCAACGTCGTTGCCTACACCATGTCGTCCAACCCCCCACGCCCCTATCGCTTCAAGTCCACGACCCTGAGGTTCCAGGTTCCGGGTCTTAAGAGCCTCCCGGCCTTTATCCAGAACTCCAAGTTCATCCAGGATATGTCGGAATCGAGTACTTGGAAGTCGACGATGAGAATTATGCACACAATCCGTACATGGTCTCGGAAGACCATCTGGGGTGATCGGGTATGTCGCGTCCTGCGAGGCGCTCAAATTGCTGCTAACCCTACATAGTTGTTCATTCAATTCGATGGACCCTCGACCATCCTTCTACAGACCCGCGGTCCTCGTATCAACGAGGTTCTGACCTCACACGAAGTTAACGAAATCGCCAGTGCGCCCAGAGGCTTGACCATTGGCCCGGCAAAGCCTACTGAGGGGAAACGCCAACCAGGAGATGAGTATGTGAAGGCTGCTGAGGAAGCTGTTAATGCTGGACCAGGACCACACAGAACTGTGGACGAATTGACCAATGAGCTCAAGGGCACGGAGCAAAGCATTGCCACTTTGACGAAGGAGGGCAAGGTCATTATTGAGAAGGCAGGACAGAAAAACTAAGCTGAAACAGTATCAGTCTGTTGCTGTTCTTCACGCATAGATCATAGCGTCTGACATCCAGGTATCTTTTTCATTTATTTTGTTTCATTGCAGGCTCAATGTACTATAGACAATAGCTTGTGTCCGACTACACCCCACGTGAACGTTATTTCTCCTTTCTCCCTATTTTCTTTCCGTTGTTCATGATCTTGATCAAATCGAACCAATTTCCCGCCTTGCATTGTCTTAAACTACCTAGCCAACAGGCACCCACGTATAAACCGGTTGACATATGGTGGGGAAGTTCCATGAATGAAGGGATCTCGCAAGGGGCCTCGTTGTCTCACAAACATAAACGTTCCTTTTTAAGTCCACAGCAAGGACCTCCCCTTCGGAATGCTCACAAGAATCACACCGCTGGTCGACTCTTTTTTTTTCACTTGCGGGAATCCGGGGTCAGACCTCGCTATCTAAGGTCTCGAAGCCCAGATCGATGCCACCAGATTCCCCCACGCCCACGCCCAAGCCCCCCATATCACATTCCCTAATCCGCAGCACTGGGAAGCAGACATCCTTGTGACAGAAGCCAGCCAGCCCTATTCTGCTGCAGAAACCATGACGCAACAACAACCACCACCGAATGAGGCCATTCCGGCCAGCGATGCCATGGAAGACGATACTAAAGAGCCCTTCCACTTGCCAGTATCTGCTTCAGATACAAGTGACGATGTAGAGGCGCAGCAGAGCGATACACAAGGCACTACGACTTCCGGAGAAAAGCCCGGAGAGAATCCAACTGCAGGTCATACTTCGGAGAAATCCAGCGTCATTGTCCAGGACCACCAGCCAGCATCGACACCTGAGGGGCCTCCAGATGGCGGACTTGCAGCCTGGATGACGGTTTTCGGCGGTTTCTGTAGCATGTTCGTGAGTTTTGGTTGGAATAATTGTGAGTGTTGGATATCAGAGACACTTTTGTCATGATAGCGCAAGACATATACACCTTCTGCTGGGAACCAATTCTCAAATGATCGATTGCGCAGCTTGCTAGCTAACATGCGACTCCCCAGGCATGGGAATATTCATCGACTATTACCAGACTCATCAACTGAGCGACATGTCCACTAGCTCCATAACATGGATTACATCGTTAATGACATTCATGATGTTCTTCGGGGTCCGTCTTTTCCTCCTTCCAGCCCTAACGTCTGCCCCCAACCGCCATCACCATCAATCAAACAATCAACCTCCACTGACAGAGCAACCAACAAATAGGGCCCCTTCATCGGCATCCTCTTCGACAACTACGGTCCCCGCTACATCATCCTCGTCGGCACCATCCTCCACGTCCTCGGCATAATGATGACCTCTATCTCCACCGAATACTACCAAATCCTCCTGGCCCAAGGCATCTGCAGTCCCATCGGCAACAGCGCCCTCTTCCACTCCGGCGTCAACTCCATCAGCACCTGGTTCGGCCGTCGTCGCGCCCTCGCCCTGGGCATCGCCACCAGCGGCGCCAGTCTCGGCGGCGTCATCCTCCCCATCATGCTCACTCGCCTCTTCGACCTCCTCAGCTTCGGCTGGGCCATGCGCATCTGCGGCTTCCTGATCCTCTTCCTCCTCATCATCACAAACCTCACCACCACCTCCCGTCTCGTCCACACCAGAAAACAATACCACATCCGTGACTTCATCCGCCCCCTCAGCGAACTCCCCTTCATCCTCACCACCGCCGGAACTTTCTGCTTCTTCTGGGGCATGTTCCTTCCCTTCTCGTTCATCCCCTCCCAGGCTCAGCGCCACGGAATGTCCCCTACCTTGGCTTCGTATCTGATTCCGGTCCTTAATGCAGCTAGGTAAACCACTTCCCTATTCCCATACCACCTCCCTCCATCCTTCAAGAAAAACCCCACTAACCCCACATCCCCCTCCGGGGATGACCTATATACAGTTTCCCAGGCCGCATCATCCCACCCTACCTCGCAGACGTCTTCGGACGCTTCAACCTCATGATTGTGATGACATTAGCATCCGGGATCCTTGTTCTCGCGCTCTGGCTTCCATCCACCGCCAACGCCCCCGCCATTGTCTTCAGCGCCCTGTATGGCTTCACCTCCGGCACGGTGGTGAGTCTTGCCCCCGCGCTGGTGGCTCAGATCTCCGAGATCAGGGAGATCGGTGTGCGCAGCGGGACATACTTCTGTATTGTGTCGTTTGCAGCGCTCACGGGCACGCCGATTGCGGGGGCTTTGTTGCCGGATCCCCTAGGAGGAAGTTATACCAAGTTGTTTGTGTTTTGTGCGGTGGTTATGCTTGCCGGGACGGTGTTTTATTGTGCTGCGAAGGGGAGGATTGTGGGGTGGAGGGGGTGGTGGGGGAAGAGGGTTTGAGTTGTGGGTATTATGTTGTGGTGGGTGATGATGGGAGGGATGGGGATAGGGATGGGGATGGGGTGTTGGTTATATTATGGTAAAATGATGGGATCTTATGCAAGCAAGCAATCATGTTGACGAAAATAGATGGTATAGTGCTTAAGAATATCTCGAGTAAAAATTGGTATAGATAGATGCCTATATAGATGTTTCGATTCGATCCTCTCTTTCAACTCCCAAACACCTTCGCTGTGCAGTGCAAAGCCACGGCAATGAATGATAAAGTCACAAGAAAACAGGTATGCTAGCAAGCAAAGAACAGGAAATGCAAGGTGACACTGTATATAGTGATACTCCCAGCTCCAAACGCAGAAACAATGCACAATGTCTGTACTGTTATACCAGAACTCCGTTTCGCATGCTCTGGACACTCTTCACACCCACACCCTTGAGCTGGCTCAGCTCCGCAAGGCTGTTGATGTGGAATCGCGCTTCTTCATCTTGGCTAGCTGTGTGTTGATCCATCTCGCACAAGCAGTCAACGATAGCCTCGGCCTTCTTAACTCCCACGCCTTTCAGCAACTTGATCTGGCTGACGTCACGGGAGTTGATGATGGAGAGGAGGTGGATGGTCCGTGGGGAGGGTGGTTCCTCGTTCATCATGTCGACGCTGGCGCGTTCGTCGTCCAGTGGGGACTTGGTCTTTGTGCGCTTCTTGCGTCTTGCGTGGGTGATTTCCTCGATGTCTTCGTCGCTGAATTGTTCGAGGGACGCTTCGGGTTCCTCGTAATCCGCGTCCGAGTCTTCAGCAACGCGCTTGAGGTGCGTCTTGGCGGGCTGCTTCTTAAGGGATAGCATACTGCCGAGCTCTCTCTTGGGCCCGGAGTGGCCGATGGTGCCGGTGGTGTCGGCGTCCTGGCGCGGTTTGCCGTGCATACGCTCCTTCAAGCTGGCAATCTTCCTGGATAACTTCTCATTGTCCGGGAAGTATGGCAGGGCTAGCTGGTACATCCTGAGAGCGAAGCTATCCTCGCCACGTGTTTGGTGTTGCTTGGCCATGAGCAAGTATGACAAACCTTCGGCCCTTGCATCTTCGGAGCCTTCGATGCGTTGTTCGAGAAGTTGCAGACGCCGCTGGACTTGCTCGTTCAGTTCGCGGACCTGCGTTTGTCTCGACTGCTCACTAACGGCGCGCACAGCCAAGATCTCCTCGACCTTCTTCTCTACCATCTCTTCGATCATGGCCGCGGAGATGTCGTCATGGTGCTTTTGAGGCTGCTGTGTTGGTTGAGCGAGACGAGAAGGCTTCGATGAGAGGCGGGAGATATCGGAACTCAAAGAAGGCCGGGAGCTCATGGAAGTCCGCTTAGGGGGCTCGGACTTCTTGAACTGTGTGGTAGTCCTAGGGTGCGTCTTATCCGAGTAGACGTGGAAAGCCTTTGCGGGCTTTTCGAGGGTCTTGGTGTTGTCTTTGGCTGCGACAGTCAGGTTTACGTTCACGGAAGCTGTCAGAGGCCGCAGGGGTTGCCGTTGGGCTGTAAACGAGGGCCGCGATGCTGGTCTAGGAGGCCCCTTGAACATTGGCTCGTTTTCTACCTCGCGCACTTCGATCTTCTTCGTGCGGTTGGCGAAGTTGAGTGAGCTTATTGTGTCCAGATGGTAGGACCTGACCGGCGCCAGGTTCAAGATCATCACAGTCAGTCCATTGTTTTGTCCCAGAGACAGAATCCTCGTCATCTTCGACTCTCGATACGGTATCCTCGAGTGCTTCTTGCTGATTGCCTCGACACACTGAGCCAGGACGAAAAGGCTCTTGTTGATACTAGCGGACTCAACCATGCGCTCTTTGTCATTATCCGTCCGGCGGTTATCTTCGGAGCCAGCAAGGTCGATAGCAGATGCGGTACTGATGCGCGTTTTATCTCCGGTGGTGACTGCGACGCGCACGCAGAGGATGGCATGGGACCGTGAAGAGTGGGCGTTAAGCTACAATAGTCAATATCGACCTTCTTTCAGGAACGGTGTGGGTGCCAACCTTTGTTGCAGATGTGGACCTGTTGGTATTGGCTTGATCATACAATAGCTCGAATTCCTTCAGAGTATGGCATGGCCTCTCCGTCAAACCCACGACGACTGTCTTGCCGCCGTTGTCTCGAAGAGGTAGACCTGCCAGCGTCCTCTTCTCGGGGGGTTCGAATAGGTCGAAAACCTTGTCGTTGTAAATTTCGTAGTAGCTCAACGACACCTTGACTGTAGTTTCGCCGTCACTGTCCTTCTCCATCTTCCGGCTGCGTCTGTAAATGCTGCTCAGGAGACGAGGAATGGCGCCACGATCAGCCAGACTTTTACCGCCTCGCATTGTGTGCGTCTTTCCAGTTCCTGTAACCCCGTATGCGAATATCGTTACGTCGAAGCCATTGAAGAGATGCTTGACAGTAGGAGCAACTGCGCGTTCCATCAGTATGTCGTTACCTCCCAGATTATTGGCGTCACAAACCCTCTGCATCGAAGAGCTCCTGCTGCGAAGCTTCTGCATCGTAGACAGCATTGAACTGAAACGAGTATTCTTCGCCTTCGTTCTTGGGGTTCGGGATCCGCACTAGGTTATCCCGATCCCTCAAGGCTGCCAGTGCGCCTTTCCCCTGGGAGCTCGTCTTATCGCTCTTGCCGGGCACTGCCTGGTTGGACGACCCGGTGCGTAGGATGACATCTAACTCCCGTTCCGATTTGAGAAGCGGTCGGACCCGCGCGACTACCCGGACGCTCATTGTGTATTGAAGTGGTGATAAGAATTGGATTCGAGATTATCACCAACGGTTGAGGGATGTAGTCCTGAAACTTCGTCGTACCGTCGCTTCAAGCTATCCGATCCAGCCCTGTTGACCAAATTGAGTTGTTGATACTTATGGCGGCATAAGAATGAGTTCCGGCTAAACGTAGAGGTAGGACCAATAGTGAGCAGCTAAACGTAAATTAAGCTGCCGTCGAAGTATCTTGCACTTTTGGATCCTAGAAGTCAGGCGCTGGATCGACAACCCGCAATCCAAGCACTCCAGGCGGCAATGAGCAGATAATTGAAGGAAATGAAACAGAAAACAACAGCAGAAAGCAAACTGACGATGAACGGTGGGCCGACAACTTGGTGGGTAAGAGACAATGTGCCCTGTGAACCGACAGGGATAGCTTCGGTGTGGTGCGACTGGCAGCGGTCAGCGTTGTTGGCACGGCAACCTCCCACGTTCGTCTACCCCAGGCATCCCACCCTTCCGATTTAGGGTGCAGTATCGTGCATCGCCATGGTTTCTTTTGCTTCTTGCCTGCAGAGTTATATTGAGGAATGTCGTTGGATTCAGAAGAATGTGTTTGTACAACTTAGTACCTTCTTTGTTATGTCCATGTGCTCTATTGCTTGGTAGTACAAGTTGTGTGCTGTCCATACTTTGCAGTCGGTAGTATTAAATATATATATTAGTGCTCGAGCACCATCATAAAATCGTAGCATGTGGGTACATAGTTCGTGAATACCCATGACTAAGGTTTTCTCAATCTAACCTGTCAGGCCCAAGAATCTCGATCAATGAATAGAGCTCTGTCGGTCTTCGAGCTTTTGATTGATGCTGTAGGGCTAGAGTATAACCAGTACTACCATCCCTAATGAGTATGAGATCATAAGCCCAAGGCAGCGACCACCACACAACTATTATCTACTACCCAATGACTTACCAAAATGTTAACACAACCATTATATTTTGTAATTTAATAATCTTGAGAGATGAAAGTCAACTCAGTTTTTCTGCATTGCAAGCCTGTCTATATCCAAATGGTTCATAAAATATGCCCAAATAATGGGCTTCAGTGAAAGTTGCTTGAGAGTCGGTTAGGCCGCGGGGAGCTGATTGGCCCAGGCGCGGCAGCCGCAAAGGCCACCGTACACCATCATCCATCCTATCATCCTCCATCGTTCATCGTCGCCTCTCCGACTCCCACAGCTCCTCCCAACTCTTTCAGGACACCTCGCCTGCTCCGGAGTGTGGCATTGACGTGCTCTTTCCCCTCTGTTTGACACTTGTGTTTCTGCGATCCGGTAAATCCTTGGTTGTTAGTATGCCGCCGTCCCTCTAGCCTTCCATTCCCCTTTCCACCTCCCACTTCGAATGTTGACCGACGATCCAGTGAGCCAGTGACGATTTATCCGACCGCGCAACACCCTCGAGATCGCCCTAACAAACCCCCGGGAAACCACTTCACCTTCTCTCCGACAGACGATAAATACACATAATCCTCCATGGCAGCACCACAAGGGGGCTACCCTCCCCAGGAAGGGTACGGTCAGCCTGCCGATTATGGGTCTCCCGTGCAACAACCCGCGGGGTTGGCTGCTGGTGCCCCGGCCCAAGGCCAGGCTGGAGGCCGAAAGAAGCGTGTTTATGCCGGCGAAGCCTTTGACTTTGGATCTGGTGCCAATGCTGCTCTGGGAGGTCAGTTGCCCGCCGGTGGCAGCTACGGAGCATACCCGCCGCAACCACAGGCTGCGGGATACCAGCAACCTATGTATGGAGCAGACCCAACTCAGATGCAGGCTGCGGCCCCAGGATATGCGGCGCCCGCCAGCCCTCAAGTCGCACAGATGACCCAGCAGTTTGGTGCTATGGGCATGACTGATCCGCACCTCCTGCCACCGCAGCCGGTCGCCCAAGCTCCCCAGGCTCAGGCCCCGCGGGCTGTTCCCCTCAACCAGCTCTACCCAACCGATCTCCTTACCCAGCCCTTCAATGTCGCCGAGCTCGATTACCCGCCACCCCCCATTGTTCTGCCGCCCGGTGTATGTCTCTGATGTCATCCAAGTTGCGAATTATTGGCTTGCTGACTTTCCCGCTAGACCAGCGTTTACCCTTCTCCCTATGCCAACTGCCCTCCGAAATACGTTCGCTCGACCCTGAACGCCGTCCCGACAACAAGTTCGCTACTGAAGAAGTCCAAGCTGCCTTTTGCTCTTGTCATCCAGCCCTACGCAGCTCTCCATGACTCCGAAGACCCCGTTCCTGTTGTCCCAGACCAAGTCATCTCGCGTTGCCGACGCTGCCGATCCTACATCAATCCTTTCGTGACATTCCTCGACCATGGACACCGCTGGCGATGCAACATGTGCAACCTGACAAACGATGTGCCTCAGGCCTTTGATTGGGATACCGCGCTGCAGAAGCCCGCAGACAGGTCGTTGAGGCCTGATCTCAACCACTCGGTGGTCGAGTTCGTTGCTCCTCAAGAATACATGGTCCGGCCCCCGCAGCCGCTTGTCTACCTCTTCTTGATCGACGTGAGCTACGCTTCTGTCACGAACGGCCTTTTGGCTACCACTGCCCGCTGCATCAGGGAGAGCCTTGACCGGATCCCGAATGCGGACCGTCGGACGCGACTGGGATTCATTGCGGTCGACTCCAGTCTCCATTACTTCAGTATTCCCCGCGATGGCTCGGAGAACTCGGAGCCTAGAATGCTGGTCATCAGTGATTTGGATGAGCCTTTCCTTCCCATTCCGGGCGATCTTTTGGTGACCCTGAGCGAGTGCCGTGAGAACATTGAGATCTTCCTCGACAAGCTGCAAGAAATGTTCCAGAACACTCAGAGCAACGCCTGCGCCATGGGATCCGCTCTGCGTGCTGGTTACAAGCTCATCTCCCCCGTGGGAGGCAAGATGACCGTGCTCAGCTCCTCTCTGCCCAACATTGGCCATGGCTCGTTGACCATGAGAGAAGACAAGAAGGTCCTCGGCACCAGCAAAGAGAGCAGTCTGCTGCAGACGGCGAACAGCTTCTACAAGAGCTTCGCTGTCGAGTGCTCCAAGGCGCAGGTCTCTGTTGACATGTTCTTGTTCTCTTCGCAATACCAAGACGTTGCGTCTCTCAGTAACCTGCCCCGCTACACCGGTGGTCAGACTTACTTCTACCCTGGATGGAACGCCGCTCGTGGAGAGGATGCGATCAAGTTCGCTCGTGAATTCTCCGACTACCTTTCTTCGGAGATTGGCCTGGAGGCTGTGCTCCGTGTCCGCGCTACGACCGGTCTGCGCATGAACACTTTCTACGGCAACTTTTTCAACCGCAGTTCCGACCTGTGTGCCTTCCCTGCATTCCCGCGTGACCAAGCTTATGTCGTCGAAGTGGCGATTGACGAGACTGTCACGAAACCCGTTGTCTGCTTGCAGACGGCGGTCCTGCACACTACATGCAACGGCGAGCGGAGAATCCGGGTGTTGACTCTGGCGCTCCCTACGACGCAGAACCTGGCTGATGTCTACGCTTCGGCCGATCAACAAGCTGTTGCTACTTACTTCAGTCACAAGGCTGTTGAGCGGGCACTGAGCAGCGGGCTGGAGCCTGCCCGCGAGGCTCTGCAGACCAAGGCTGTCGAACTGCTGTCGACCTACCGGAAGGAATTGGCTGGAGGCAGTGTCAGCGGTGGTGGTCTTCAGTTCCCTGCCAACCTGAGAGGCTTGCCAGTGCTCTTCCTTGCCATGATAAAAAACGTAAGTCCTGCCCATAAGTTTGCATGTTCAACCGTATTTGCTAACACCATTTAGCTTGGTCTTCGCAAATCCGCGCAAATACCAACCGACATGCGCTCTGCTGCCCTTTGCTTGCTTTCGACGCTCCCCCTTCCTCTCCTCATGCAGTACATCTACCCCAAGATGTACTCTCTTCACGACATGCCCGACACTGCTGGATTGCCCGATGAGCAGACCGGCGAGATCCTCCTCCCTCCCCCGATCAACCTGTCATCCGAGCGCATTGTTCCCTATGGTCTCTACCTCATCGATGACGGGCAGACGCAGTTCCTCTGGGTTGGACGCGATGCAGTGCCCCAGCTGATCGAAGATGTCTTTGGCCTGCAAGACAAGTCGCAACTCCGCGTGGGCAAGCAGAACCTGCCGGATGTGGACAATGAGTTCAACCAGCGGGTGCGGGCGGTGATCGAGAAGAGCCGGGATCACCGGTCGAAGGGCGTGGGCAGCATTGTGGTGCCACACCTGTATGTGGTGAAGGAGGACGGAGAGCCTGGACTCCGCTTATGGGCGCAGACCATGCTGGTTGAGGACCGTGCTGACCAGAGCGTCAGCCTGGTGCAGTGGATGGGCTCGCTGCGGGAAAAGGTTTGATCACCCCATTTTATTTCCCCCCCATAAGCGCTCTACCTCTGCCGGCATTGGACACCTCGTTTTCACATACTTGGGAGTCAGATCGGGCTGACGAGCTTGAACACGCCTACAGGTTGTTCAGTAATGATAAGCTTCTTTTTTTCCGAATTATCTTTGTTCCATTTTCCTTTGTTTTGGTAACTTATATGGAAGATATTCCACCATACATTCCCCATGGATTCTGTTGTCTGTTTGGCGATGTTGTAACTTATTCCGGCTGCTGTTGTTCATGCAATGGGAAGAAACGAAAAAATGGACGGCCCAAATATTTTGCCCGTGGTTCTCTCTGTTTACTAGTAGTACCGCGGAGTACGTCTAAGTATAATACCTTATACCTTCAACCTCGCGCTTCTCTTCATAGAATATAAAAGCCTCTATACATAGTCAGTACTAAGTGGTTTCACCACCATCCATCGGCAATGGCCATCTCATTTCCATTCCGAATGATACCCACCCACATGTGCCATTACCACACCGACAGGGCACAGACTTACTTCCCTTCCCGTCCATACACAGTGCGTGTCTCCACTCCCTCCCTCCTCTTAAGTAGTAGATAATGACGAGTAAGATAAG